TCGGTGGGCTCAGGCTGATGCTCCGTACCACGGGGAGATGGTGGGCTGGGCTCTGGGTCCGGAGTGGATCTCTGGGTCCGCCGATGGTGAGAATACAAACGGAGGGGAGAACACGGAAGTTAAACTGTTTTTGGGTCGGTTATTCTGTCACGGGCAGGGTGTTCCAGAGATCAGGCAGGACGACGAAGATTACGAATAAAAGGATATTTAATGATATGAGGAGATCTAGACAGGGTAGACATCAACACACAGGGTAACATTCACAATAACCGACAAACTAGAATACAAGAGACAGGAACTAATATAGGGCAGATAGCGAGGGGCAGACAGGTGAGCACAATGAGGTGATTAACTAATAATGAGAACAGGAACAACCAAATAAGGACACAGAGGGAGAAACCACAATCAACAGTCCACAGGGGTGTGACAGGTATAAAAATGATAAAAATAAAAAAGTATATAAAATTACTGAACCTTTAAAATTAAAACTGTAAATATAACAATACAACATAATTTAAGTCATTATTATTAAGTTAAGTTAAACCTAAATTAATAAATACAATAATAATATATAAATAATACTAAAATAACACTGCTTTACACAGTGATTTTAACATTGGATAAAAGGAGGTTCTTAACTGTGGTAAACCCATTAAATCATTGTAAAGCTGAGCAAGAAAATACAATTTCAGTTGTATAATTGTTTGTGAAATTTATTAGCAATTTCTGAACGAGAATTGGTTTTATACCAATTTTTTTTCACTGTAATAATAACTGGAATTAATAATTCTTCTGCAAAGTAATACAGTTCCTTATCCTAATTGCAATCTGTTTACAGTTGCCAAGCAACACAGGCACATTAATGTAGAATTAGCAGTCACAGGTGCAAATTTATTCAGCATGGCTTCAAAGATGCCTCATCCAATCAAAATTTCGAGTTGAAATGATTCATTTTTATCAAATCTCGAAGTAACACAGCAGATGAGCCTCTAATCAAAGCTTCGCATGCACTCACCACAAAAAGGACCCTCATCCGAACGGTCAGCACAGTCGTTTCTCCCATCGCAGATCTTGTTGGGGGGCAGGCAGGTTCTGGAGTCATTAGCACAGGGCTGAGTGGGGGGCTTACAGATGGAGGACTCACACGAATCTTCATCTGAGCGGTCTTCACAGTCGTTGTCGCCGTCACACACCCAGCTCTTGCTGATACACTTCCCTTGGGACACAACATTCAGTCAGAGCACTATATAAATCAAGCTGTCAGGCTTAATTTGTTGTTTGTAGGTGAGCATGAAGATAAATCAGGGTAAATTTTAAAAGGTGGCGCAACGTCAAACTGGCATGACGTCAGGTACACACAGAAGCTTCAGCTTATTTAACCCTCAGAGAACAACTTTAGCAAACTGCAACATTTGTTTTTGTATTATTTAACATGTATTTATCACACAGTGGAGCTTATTCAGAAATTATAGATACTATATTCCAAATTACTTTCAATTTAGCCAAATTACATTTCATAAAGTATCAGAGGGCTGCTGAGATGAACATACTGAAGTTTCAGCCTTCTAGCTCACTGGGAAGACTTTTATTAAGGTCAAAGCAACTGCAGTAGAGTCCAATACATTTACAGGGGATCAGTGCAGAGTATGAATACCCCAGGATCATGAAGTCAATGTCAAAGGGCTGCTCTGAGATGAACACATCTAAATTTCAGCCTCCAAGCTTCCTGTGAAGGCTTCCTTCAAAGGTTTGTAAGAATTTTTTTTAATGTTTTCGTCTTCTATGCCTGCCCACCAAGACTGCAATTATTTGATCAAAAAGGCAGTAAAATGGTAATATTGTGTATATAATTAAATAACTGTTTTTATTTGAATATAGTTTAGTTTATAGTTTATTAGAGTTTATAGTATATATATATATATATATATATTGTGGAAAACAATACATTTTTTTTCAAGAACCCTTCATGAATAGAAAGTTCAAAAGAACAGCATTTATTTGAAATATATATTTTTTTGCCACATTATAGATCTCTTCACTGTCACTTTTGATCAATTTAATGCATCCTTGCTAAATAAAAGTATTAATTTAAAAAAAATCTTACTGACCCCAAACATTTGAATGCTGTTCTTCTGCACTTCGCAACACTGAAAACGCAGGATTGAAAAACAGTCGGCTTTCCTTGTGTTCAGTCTACCTCCATGATCAGATAAACAGGTGAACACACTTTAGTCTGTTTCTGAGCCTGTCAAAATGATATGGAATTTGGCATTCGGTGTGAGGTGCAGTGGTCTGGAAAGTGTGTACCGTTGCTGCTTTTTAGCACATTTTTGACATCAAAAGGAGGAGGAACAAACTAAATTCTTGAGCTCTTTATGGCTTGACTGTAGATGTCTTTTCAAGGCAATCATTTACAATTAGGGTGACTACATCAAAAAGCCCCATGTTGATTGATTCCACTATGGTCTGAGTGAAGCAAAAACTAGTTATAGATACAAATTAGGCTACAGCAAAATCTGATCAAAAGAAACACATAAAGTTGAATTCTGTGCGTAAGTGGCCGTTCACATATCGCGTCTTTTGCGCACTCAAGTTCGTTATTTCAATTGTAGACGCGCGGCAGGCGCGATAATGGAAGCGACGCGCTCATTTTTTTCCAGGCCCATCCGCGCCGCATCGAGATAAAAAAAACATTGAAACTTTTCAGAATGCCTCAAGCGCACCGCGGGTCATGTGACAAGAACCAACCAATCAGCTTCATCCTTTCCTGTAACAACATTGAAAGCTCCGCCAAGATGAAGGAACAGCTGATCATAGCTGTACAGGGATAGCCATTTTTAAATAAATTTAGTAGCAGAGCTACTGCAAGCGATTTTTAGTGCTGCAAATCCATTTATCCTTTGCTGAAACTTCCGAGTCTTCATGGAGAGCGCAGGTCATGGTTGCTTAGCAACGGCAGACGCCTCCGGAGCGCAAGCGCCCGAACGCTTTGGG